TAGATATTGTAATAAAATATGAATTTATATTTTAAAAGTAGTTCTTTATTCACAATAATAATAACTATATGTGCATACATGCTCATATTATATGCAATTGTAACAAACATATACACTATAATTATCTCCTGTCCCCAAAACAAATGTCATCTGGATTGAAAGCAAAAAAATGTATATCTACCTATGAATAAAACTGCAAGAAAAGTTTATTACACACGGCTTTAGTTTCGTTAGTTTACTTAACCTTAGGATACTTTATCACAAGAATTTTATCTAGAGAAAACTACGAAATACACTTTGAAAATTTTTTTAGGGCTTTTTATTAGGCAAAGGAAAAAATGTTTTATATAACAATAATTATGATTTTTAAGAAACAATTTCCGAAAGATTTCATGACTTAAGCTGACTGAAACTGGATTTAATTACGATTGGTAATTTTTAGTATATGTACATACATACATAGAACTCAAAATTCATTTTAATTTCTGCTGGAATTTCCGTATTACACAATGTATTTTTAAAATGCTCCGAATATACATAAAAGCGATCACTCTAACGCAATACACAATGTACAAATAAGCTGTAATCACGAGTGTAATTAGAAATTGCATTACATAAAAACTAAATATCTAATTCTGTATGTCACAATTTTAGTTACATTTTGTGGTAATTTTAAAATTAGGATTCTTATTTTTTCAAAATTGTCACACAGATATATATGTCATATTTCTCAACAAATCATATTAGAGTCACTTTTTAAAATAATACGACTGATTTTTGTATTGTACTCACTCACGTCCATAAACAAATTAAATATACGTAATTGAGCAAAAAATAGCCCACACCAATTTTAGGTTATATGAATATAAAATATTAAAGTTCCTATATTTTCATGTTAAGAAAATAAAAATTTGATAAAATATATATATATATATATATATATATATACGATGGAATACCAGTTTCCCTAGAACCAAATTACTTTTCCGATATAACACGTATGCAATAAGAATTTAAAGTTTAAAATGAAGGAGTATTTATACCAGTACGAACGTATGTTCGAAGGGTATACTAAATTTGCTTTACCGTTCGTAACGCTAAGAAATAACGATCCGAGATATAGACTCAAGTGTATGTTTTTGATCAGCGTCGAATTCTGAGTCGATTTAGCTTTGTCTGTCCGTTCGTCCCAACAATAACTCAAAAACTAATTGAGCTAAGTTCACGAAATTTTCACAAATAATTTGTAGCAGTAAGTGCCAGAACCCTATTTAAATTGAACATGATCGGAGTGCTGATTCAGGTAGCCGCCAATACGAATATGTTAGTAGGGCCAATGTGTTTGATAAAAGTCGTTGAGAATACTTGGCTCCTTCTGGTACCTGTCATACAACTTCAACAGTAGTTTGGCCATATCTAAAAAAATATTGAAAAGTACTGAAATTTTGCATTAATACTCGTATGGTAATATGGCAAATTAAAGTGATAGTCTGTTCTATAGTCAGGTATGACAAATTTATTCGCACATAGGATAAGAAATTCGTACGGGTATCACAGAGTTGACAACGTCAACTCTATTTTTTTTCGTTTTATATTAATTTCGACCACTGACATTTCCCTACTATATTAAACAAAGTAGAACAATATAATTATGAAGAACTAGTAAATATCTGCCGCCTCTATTAATTACATCAATACGTTACATTGTAAAAATCTTGCCAATTGATTAAAAAATTTCAATACCACTTTATGGTATAATATGCGAAGTTTTTACCACTTTATGGTTTTGCGAAATTAATAAAATTGTAAAATTTTTAACATTTTGTGCTTTGAATTTTTAAAAATAAAAATTTATTTTAAAAAAAAAATGTGTTCATACAAATTTTATTGAAAATTTTATTACTTTTTGATTTTAATTTCTTTTATACATATAATTTGTTCATATATCATGATGAATTTATTAAGTACCTATTTATTTATTGAATAAATATTAAGTATTTGCATATAGTAAATTTTATCTTCATCATCATGCAACTGTTATCATATTTCCAAGTTGTACCCACATTGTTTACTAGTTAAATATTATAACACTTAATAAATATATATAATACTTATGGTGTTGAATAAGTAATTCGATACTCTCGAAATTATTATTTAGATATTTATATAGTCACTTATGTTAATGTGCTGTACGTCACTTCCTAGGAAGCTGTCACCTACTACACATAAAAAAGTAATAATATTACATGAAAAATCATATTAATGCATATAAGTTACATATAAACCCACAAATAAAACAAAAGGGTCATCAGTAAATTAGGATTTGAACAATGGCCTTTCAAAGTAGCACATTTCCACATGGAAACAGTTTTTTTTTTCAAATTACGTAATATAACACTTTAATATCATATGTTCTTCTTTATAATATCATATTAATTACTAAGGGCTACTGTGGTTACAACTCATAAACAAAATCTTATAAACGTCACGTTACGTTACGTATTTAAGCTAAAGTATATATGTATGTTTCTGGTATACCCAAAACAAATTCTTGAACTGAAGAAAGTGTGAAATTTATAACGAAGCTTATTAAAATATAATAAGTGTCATTTTGATAGAAACTCATATATTGCATACTTTTAGAATAAGAATAATATTCATAGAAATCATAACAATTTGATGGAATTATACGGTTACATTGGGTTATTTAAAATATTTAATTATTTTTACTATTAAGAAGACATTTACCGTTACATTAAACGTTACTGTTACCTTTACAATGCCGATATTTTATTTTATAGAAATTTTATAAAATTTATAGACTCAAGAAAATGACTTGGCGAAAATTTAAATAGGACTAATTTTGATTAATATCTAAGAGCTGTTAAAATTTTTGGAATCGTAACGCTCACATAAGAAAACTGATACAATTAATTCAATATAGAGAGAGCCAATTCCACAGTTAAGAGAAAATCAATAAATTTTAAGAGAGAACGAACAAAGTTAATCTAACAAATGCACTTTTTTTACAATTATATTTGAAAAAAAGCTAAAAATTAACCTTTTTGGTATCAGTCCGAAATATGCACTTCATTTTCTGATTTTAAATTAGAATTCAATTCTAAAAACGAAATTTACGAATAAAATGAAGATAAAAACAATTTTTTTCCGAAATGAAAATATGAAATAAATAAATTCTTTCTGATATCATCAAAAAAAAAAAAAGTTATGACGTCAAAACAAGCTCATTTCCTGCAAAACATTAAAAAAAATTACCAAAATGGTGATATATGTATGTGCATGTGTTTTTCTTCGCCTTGTAGGAATGCTATGACTAAAATATTAAAATAAAAATTTTTATTAAACAAGTTGCCGTGTAATACACAATATACATACACACTTATACATATAAATTATGTATTCAATATCATCAAATATTGAAGGACACTATACAAATAATTTGCATAAAATATTGAAAATTCTTTTAATTTTTGACGATTCTATATAATATTAAATACCTGCTTTAATTTCTTGTCAATTTACGTTATTATCAATTTTATATTAATTTCATAATTAACACGATATAATTAAATTATTAACTGTACGACAAATTTATAATACTAGTATACTAAGCTATTTTAGTATACTATTAAAATAATATTAAAATTTATTTATAGTCAATGTATAATAACAATAAATAAAATAAAATTATAAAAATTGCCAAGTCTCAATTGCGATTACCGGGTTTGAAAATAAAAACAAAAATAAAAATAACACTATAATACTAAAACCAAAAGAAAAAAAAATGTAAAGCTTTAAATAATAGTTAGTTAACTTGCTTTAAATAATAACAACTACATACCTACTCGCTCGTTTATATTAAATTGTACCAGTTATACTCGTATTAACCATCTGGATTACGACGATGCAATTATGTGCATTGTACTATTATTATTGGTTTTTGTGAGGGTCGGTGGTAGAAATAATTTTATTTTCATATACATACATACATACATATTATGTATATTTTATTTCAATTATACATATGTACATTTGTAATTTTATTCTGTCTATTTGTTTTTACTTTTAAATTTTAATATTATTATTATAACCTGTCTATTTGGGTAGCCTAGCTAAATAGCTAGCTGCCTGTTTGACTGCCTGTAAGTATGTATTATCTTAAACTTAACTTAAGAAAACAAAAAACACAACATGCATTTATAATTTTATGTTTTTTGTCTTTTTCTATCTGACATTCACTATATTGCAGATTAAATTTTTTTTAATTTTAATTGTAATATTAAATTTAGCTTGCCTGTATAGTTCAGAGTCAGACTTTAAATATTTTGTTTTTTTCTTTTTTTCTGTTTTTCTTATTTTTTTTTTTGTTTTTTACTTAAAATTTATTTTTCATGTAAAAATAATATTAAATAAAATAAAAGTTGCTCATTATTGTCGTTGTCGCCTGTGTCGCGCATCATTTTGTTGCTTTATTTTGTTTGATATTTTTATTTTATAACAAAATTAAAATTATGGTAAAGTTTTGTGTTTGAGTTGCTGCTATAGCTATTGTCATAATAGTAATTGTAGTCAAAGTCAATAATAATATTATGTGGTATATTTATTTTTACTGTTAAGCTTTATAAACTTTTTGAATTCGTTTTTTTTTCTGTTTTTCCTGTTTGTTATTATTGTTATTGTGTTGTTCAACTCATGCAAGAGGAATATTATTATAGCCAACTATAAAAAAAAAAAACATTCACAACAGTTTATACACATATTTTTTTGTTTTTGTTTTTTCTTATTTAGTTTTCTTTCAAAAATTTTATGCTTTTATGTTTTTGTTTTATGGTGTGTGCGCGCTCATGTAATTGTGAAAAACCAAAGATCACATAAAAGATCTGTACAAATTCATCAACATGGCAGTTGCTAAAGTTATTTGATAAATGTTCGATCGAGTTGAAGGAGTCTGTTTTTTTTTCTTCGCCGTTTTTTTTTTTTTTGGATATTCGCGCGTAATATAAAAATTTAAAATAAAAATTTATTTTTTTATTTTTTTTTTCGGATCGGTAAAAATTTTAAAAATATCAACAATAAATAATAATAAAAAAAAATTGAGGAAAATTTTTATTTGGATTTTAACTGAAAAATAACAGTTTTTTTTTTTTTATTTTCCCCGTCTAATAAATATACAAGTGACATCTATTTTAATTAGTCAAAAATTATTTGTTATAAAAAGTCAAAAAATTTTAACGTGATTGTAATTACACATATGTGCCTCTTATCAATAATAATATCGTAAATTAAAAATTTGAAGAGCAATTTTTCTGTGCTTTGGATAAAAAAAAATTTTTTATTTAATTTAACAGGTAATTTTTCAAATAACAAAGTGTTAATTTAAAAATTTTAAGAAAATATTAAAATTAAAATTGAATTCTCATTATAAATTAAATAATTACATTTAAATTAATTTCAAAATTAAATGCTTTCTAAAATTAAATAATAAATAAATAAAAAACAAATTTCAAGTGTTGTTGAATTTTTTATAAAAAATATTTGTAATAGAAAATAAAAATTAACAAAATAAAAATCGTAATCGTTTTCATTTATTCATTTTTTTTTTGTTAATTAAATTAATTAAAAATCAAAATTAAAAAATAAGAGAATCAAAATATTTTGGTACTATAAAGAAAATTGAAAAATATTAAAAAAAAAAATAAAAAAGTGAGTGGCAAAAAGATTGTTTGTTTGATTATGAAATTATTAATGAAATTTTCCAAAAAAAAAAAAAACCAATAATAAAATAAAAAAAAATTACTGAAGCATATACGAAAAAAAATTTTGTAATTTCTTTTTTTGGAACTTTTTTAAATTATTCAATTTCGATTTTAATTGTGGCATTTAAAAATTATATATTTTGATTTTCACCATTCATTTTTTTTTTTTTTTTGGAACTCATTCATTTAAACGAGTCTCGATTATTAAAATTCATGTAACAAATAAAAACAACACATTACATAAGTATTATAAGAGTGGAAAATAAAGAATTATTGTTATATTTGTATATAATAATTCTGTTAAAATGAATAAATAAAGAATTTAGTTAGAATAAAACAAAAATATAATTTAATGATAAAAATAATTACTTAGTAATTTAGTTTATGTTATTCTAGTAAATGATTAATGACTTAATTGAATTAAAGTGTATGAATATTTTTTTTAGTAAATTTCAATATTTTTGAATGTACGGCAATTAAGTGAAATATTTCGTCAATTTTTATTTTACGTTAAAAATAATGTGAAACATGTATCGTATAAGTATATATTTACAAAAATTATTAGCAACATAAATGTTATATTTATTAAAATTAATAATCAATTACATCATGTTGACCTTAATTCTAATTATATAAAATTAAAATTTTTGTTGATTTTATTACACTATCTATATATATATGTCTATTTATATTTATTAGTCTATATAAAAATTTACAGAATTTAAGAAATATGTATCTGTGTATTACGATTTAATATTATATCCATAAATTGTATAAATTATTTTATATTCATAGAACGATATACGATCTACGTTATACATAAAAACGATATGAATGATATCTTTAATATATAACATTTTGTATTAATTTGTATATATATATAAATAACTTAAATAAGATAATGAAAATATAAATTTTCCGTAAAAAAAAAAACAATTTCATATATAATTCAAAATTCTTCTTTTCATTTATCAAGCCCTTAAATTTATATTCATTATGAACTAAATTTAATACGAAATTTTAATTAGTGTTTTTAAGAGCTGACACGTCTTAGATGAACAACACTTTTTACTGTTCAATTATTAGTTTTTATATATGTATAACTAACACCATAATTTTATATATTAATAAGTTTTTAAAATAATTTTCGCACCTTCAACAAAAATTTTCTCATCTTAACATTTAAAATTATTCAAGAAAACTTTTCATATAGTAATTGTATACTTAGTTTAAATATTTAAATATAAAAATTTTCATTAGTTTATAAATGAATACTTAAAATTGAAAATCACATTTTTTATAATCGTATTGCATTAAAATTTTAATTAAAAATCAAATTGGAAATAAAAAAAATAGGAAAAAAAATAAAATAAATTCTCCATGCCTTGCTTTTCTTTTATCCTTTTTGAATCTGGCAATGTTTTGTTTTCATTTCTGTGTATAAAGCAGTGAATACAAAGTTTTTAATTGAAATTATGTAACAAAAAAAATGATAGCTAACTACATGAGGTGATTTTTTTAATTAACAATTTTTAGCTTTCGTTTCTAATGTAAGTGAGCAAAGACACAAAAAAAAAAATATTTAAAACCGAAGAGATTTGAATAAATTTCAACAGAATAAAAAAACAAAAATCATTTATTCAATTGTGAATTACTTACCAAAATTTTCATTTATTTTTATTAAATGAACTTAGATCAAGTAGAAAACTGTTAAAATAGTAATGGTAGATTTATACAGGAATAATAGTAAAATTATTGAATGGAAAATTTTAATTTACAAATCGCAGTTTTTCTATTTGCATACATACATAATAATTATTTTAAATTATTTCTTATTTTTTTTTTTAATTTTCATCATTATCTTTTTTTCAAAATTTCTTGAGAAAAATCTTTCTAAATTACATAAATTATGCAAGATCTATTTAAATATTTCAAAAAGCAAAAAAATTTAAACATTTGAATTGTGAATTGGCAAAAATTATTAAAATTTAATTTTATTCAAAAAAATAAAATAATTTATCATTTATAGTTTTAACCACTGTATACAATTAAATTATATATTGAATGTACAAATATAAGCATGCCTGTGAGAGAAAAATATATAATGAATAGACCTATGGTATACTTACGAAAATCTCATATTCAACGACTTATTCTGCAAAAAATTTATGAAATTAAATTAAGATTTCAACAAGTTCGTATAATGGAAATTAATTTTACATTACTGAGTGTAGAAATTTTTTAATACAAGAAATTTATTCTTATTCCCTTAAATCTATTATAATTTCTACAAAATTTTGCAAATATAAAATTAAATTGAATTAAAAAAATATTTTTTGCTCAATACCATAAATATCTTGTATAACAGAAGTTGATATATTTTTTTCTTTTAATAAAATTTTACACATTTATTAAATTTAATTATAAATTTATACATTATTCTTAAAACAAAATTCTATTTTTACAGCTTGCATGTTAAATTCAAATAAATAAAAATTAAATTTAATAGATTTTTGATTTGTTATATTTGTTATATAATGTAAGCATAAGAAATATCAAAAATTTAAATTTAATATTGTTAAGAATTTTATTAAATCTTATTTTTTTCTAATAAAATCTGATAATTTATGCAATTAAGAACTATATGCGGCACGGCGATACAAATTGTGCAGTTTACGTGTTACTTGTATTGTATATATAAGTGTTTGTGTATAGACTGCTAAAAAATATTCGTTTATTAGAACTTTACTTTACGTATTTATGTATGTATGCAATTAACTATAATATACGAGTCCGAGTAGGAAAATTATATTATAATTTTCTTATTTTTGTAATTTTAATATTGTATTTATGTAGTTAGTTTAGACTGAATGGCGTGATGTTAATTAGTTTTCTGCGCATATACATAATATGTAATATTTGGGTCTATTGCTATATAACATAATATTCTACCCTCTACAAAAGTTCCGAAGTACCATTAACATAATATAAAAATTTATAGGTAAATTTAAATTATTTTTAAGTTTTGTCCAGCTGTAATATGTCATAACAAAATATTGCTGTGTAGTTTGTAATAATTTAACAATAAGAGTTTTTATGTTTCTTATCTACTGAACAGGATTTATAGGGAGTGTAGATAAAAGTAATTTTAAGAATGCGAAGTATTTAATTAATTTGTGAAGGTCATTTTGATACTCTTCTTAAAATATCCTATTTATGTTGAATATAAGTATAAAAATTCTTTAAACTAGACGTGTCCGTTTTTAATTGTTTAAAATTTTGAATATTTAAAGAAAATTTAATATTTTAACAAATTGAATAATTTTCATATTAAATCCATTGACCTAATATTACCTACAAAAAATAATTCTATAAATGAAACTTGATCAACTCTTATTTATTTTACTTTGATGAAAGTAAATGATCAGGCTCTGAAAAACACGTGCTGATTCTTATAAGGACGGGGAATTTTATGAATCCAGCGGTGTTACAACGGGCCTATTTGTCTAGTCCATTAAGGTAGCCGCGTCAATCTAACTTACCTAATCTAATGATCAATAACCAAGTAAGTGATCAAGTTAGTGATAAAATAAGTTTAGTACTCAACGATACTATATATATTAAGTGTGTATTTTTAATATCTAGAATTAAAAATGAAAATTTTTAAAATTAAAAACAATACATTTTATTTAATTTTAATAACATTTTAATATGTCAATAGGTAAAAATTTTTATTCAGATTTTAAAAAAGTTATTTTCACTTAAATTCTCAGCAATTGTAATTATTGTATGAAAATCATTAAAAAAAAAAAATTTATGATTTCTCAGTGATGATAATTTTTCTTATTTTATTTTTATGTAATTACAATGCTTTGTTCAAATTATTTGCTATAAGGTGTAAATTGTTGAAATCTTATAATAATAGTAAGATTATTAAACTAAAATGTAAATTTCGAAGGTTATTTTTAAATCACAAAGCCTACGCATTCAATATTTATCCCATATTATCTTATTGTAGAACAGTCACGAATTCAATAAAGGTCAAAATTTTTGATTTTACTTTTTTTTATATAAGTTTTCACTCCCCTTTAAATATTACACTTAAAATATTATATTTTAATCTATATTTGTCATATTTTATTTTAATACCCTATAGAGATTGTCATTCAATTATGCATACACACATATAAAAATTTAAGTTTCATAACTAAAAGTATGTTTTTCCGTTTTTTCTATTTTGTTTTTTTAAATCAAACCAAATCACTTGTTTAACAGTAATAATAGTTTTTTTTTTCTTTAATAATTATTCATGCATTCACATATATCAAAAATTTTCTATATTGCATTTTAATATTTGCAAATATTTCTTAATTACAAATAAAATATATTAAATTTGTTTTTGCTATTAATACATCAGTGGCGGATCTACATATTCAGTGAAGATGGTCTTGGCAGTTTTGGGTAGGTCCACGAAAGATTTTGGTTTCATATTTAAATTTTAATTATTTAAATTCTTGCAATTCAGGTTTAAAAGTAATAAAGAACAATTAGTGGAAGTACCCAATATTAATTACTCAAAACACTTTGAAATT